TTATTACTTAAATTGTTTCGTTGAGAACATTGAATTTCATCCATTTTCGAATTTCTATAGTATACTCGTCTTGTAATATTTTTAAAATGTCAAACTATCATTATTTCGTTTGAAATGTTATTAAACCCTTGAATTTTATGAGGAATTTATTTTATAACCTTTTAATACCATCAACCTTAAGAGTATCTAAAAAAATCAACCTTTTGGAATCTGCAAATTGTTATTCTCCTCAATTGTTGAATATGTGTAATTAACACAGATATAAGGACACTCTAAACATCGTTGTTCCACTGATTACCACTAATTTGATGATACAGTAGAACCCCGTATAACGCGATTAAAAAATCTCCTGTTACAACGATTTCATGTTTACGAATCTCGCGTTAAATTCTCTTTTTTGATACTGGTCCAACTTCTTTCTCTGCTTGTTTCCGTTCGAAATTTCTGTTCGCTAGCAGCAGAATAATCTAAGCTGATCACGTTTCGTGGTCCACCCTGTATACAATTGGGTCAAAATGTCCCTGCATCCGCTGTGTGAAGGTTAATCGCGCTATTCGAGGTTCCACTGTAATCATGAACCTGTGTGTAGACATTGAAGTAACGTATTGGTACTTGCGTGTTTCCAGGTCAAATGTTCCTGATGAACCGTTTCTTCGATGGTGCCTTTTTGACGTTCGGTATCGACGTGCTCAGGTTCCTGGAATCGGATCAGGAGGACCGGGTTGATCCGATGATTTACGTGTTTCCACGGATGACAAAGTGTACATTCTACAAATATGGTGTCAGCGGCGAAGTGGAAAGACACGACGCTGTCTGCATATTACCTTTAAACGTAGTCAACGAGAAGATATACGTTTTCCTTTGGTTTTGGTTCCTCTTTCTTGGCGTGCTTAGCTTCATCACGGTTTTGTACAGGGTGAGTAAAACTAATTGCGTTTGTGATATCCGAAAAAAGAAAGTAGAGTCATTCTATTAGAAAGCAAATTCAGACATTGCTTTAATAACATATTTCGAAAATAATTGGTTAATTGTTCTTTCTATGCAAGGAAATTATAAAATAATTGATAATGTCAAATTAGTAAACGATGCGTATTTGATGCTGGTTTTGAAAATTATCGGACGATTTGGTGGTTACAAAACTCACAGAAATACTGAATTTATATATCATATGAATTTGAATATTTTTCACAAAAATTGCGCATGTACCACAAAAGGTACACGTGGCACGGGACGTGTTAAGTACAGCTACCCTGAATCTGCGGAAGTTTGACACGCGGAAGCTCTTTTATTTGACACCCCGCGGCGTTCCCCGTGGTCGTTGGATTCGTTCCGGCGGCAAGCCTCGGGAACCCCGAGTCGGTAATCCCGATCGGGCAACCGCAATATGTACAAAAAACAGTGACCATTCCCGTTCCATTTCACAGATCGTAATTATATTCTCGCCGCGGACGAGGGTCTACCTTCTGCGATTACGGTTTCGCCTGGTCCGCCGAGAAGCAATCGAGACGATCGTCCGGCGGAGCAAAGTGGGCGACTGGTTTCTCCTGTACATGCTCGGGGAGAATTTGGACACGGTGATATACAGGGACGTGATGCACGAGCTGGCGAACAAGCTCGCGTCCAGGCACCACCATAGCGTGCCGGGGATCAAAGGGGAGCTGCAGGAGGCCTGATCGAAGTAAGTGGTTGTCTGTAAGAAATGACACGGGGCGGTAGATGAAACCACGGAACCCGTATTAACCCTTTGCACTCGAAAAGTGTGTAAATTACCCCATACACGTTGAATCTTGCGGCGATGCAGGCATCGCAACAAGTGATGGATTTGAGTCTTCTAAAGTTTCATGATACAAAGTGGGCAACTGAGGCTGCCCTTATCCACGAAAAGGACTGCTGGACAGACCTAACTAAGAGGCATAAAAACTCTTGGTCAAATCCCTCGAGTACTTAGTACTGATTAAGACACGCGTAGTGAGACTGTCAGTGCGTATCTTTGTCAAAACTATTAAGGTAGCTCGTGCTCCGCAACCTGCTGATACCAAAGTTAATAAAGTGGATCGGGACACAATATCTGGACAGTGTCATTGTTCACGGAGGTTGACCGTCTTTTCATCGACCCTAAGGATGTTGTTTATTGCCTGGAACCTTCTCGATTCCTAGTCAGTTTTCCGATATTTCTTACATGTCTTTCGGTCTGGCTTTTAGGTCTGGCTGCATCCACGGACTATTTAAAGCGTCTCCGTTTCCCGTCCATCTCGCGATATAAATTCCGTGCCGACCGACTTGCGAGGTTCGATATGTAACGTGTCTTCGATACCCGGCACCGCATCGGTGCGCCGTGCGTAAATTTCCTGGCAACTAGCTTTTGACGTTTACGCGTTATCCTATTTCGAGCGGCTTAACAACCGCCACTAGAGAGCCTTCCCCCCGGTGTTCAATATCGGTTTGAAATAACAGCGTTATCTCGAAAGCGACGCAACATCTGAACCATTGCGCTCCTCGCGAGAAGAAAGTGCTGGGTACCGTGTTTGTTGCTGCTATGCCAGGGAACGAGGTGTTTTTGGGGCGTCACGTTTTTGCGTGTTACAACGTGCATTCTGAGCGTATGCTTTCTTGTTACGTTCTACCCCACTGAGATAACTATTTATAGTGTATATATGTGTGAATTGGGAATAATATACGGGAATATAAAAAGCTCTAATGCATAACTACGTTTATTAATCGTTAAGGGTTAAATGTTAACCCTTTGCGGTCCGAATTAATTTCTCCTCTTCCTAGTAGTCCGGTGTGAATGAATCTTTGACTTTCATCAATTTATCATATACCTAAGAACTTTGTCTCAGGTTAGCAAGGAAATGTTATGTGAAGTTTTCCTACTATAACCAGTCAAATCACTGACTACAAAATAAGGGTAAATAAGTTAGATGATATATTCCGTTTAATGGAGATAGAAACGAGAGGGAAGAGAAAAATTGAACACTGATTAATTAGATAATATAAGAATTCATATAAAGTTAAATGAAGGAAAGAAAACGCAAAATTTCTGGTCACTTTACCGGTTCCTGGTTAGGTTAGTGTTAAACCTCTTATTTTTGAGATTTAAATGACCGAACATCAGTTGTGATGATGATACAATAAATGTCCGTAAATCTAGTGTTAAACTAACTTTTTCAAATTTCTTTATAGCAATTATAAGCATGCGTTCATTAAGATTTCAGTTTGGGTATCACTGAACTAGGTACTTTAATCATTTCTGAAAGAAGTATCTGTACCTTGTTCGTAATTGTAAAAGAAGAAGATTCTACCTTAGGATATATACGAGAATTTCTTATTAATAATTTGGTATCATAGCTTTTAAGTCGAGCTATTATTTTAGTGCAAATCTAACTAAATATTTCGATTTCATCTTATTTTATTTTACCTTAACATTACATTAGTTCTCCTCTCGTAATTGTTTTCAAGTAATTTGAGAGCTCCGGTCATCGGTGACCACCGTGGCGGTTAATGTGTTAAATAAAGTTTATTTAAAACGTACTTCGTTTTATTAGAATTTAGTAAATATGCACAATTTATATATTTTGTAGATATTTATATATCTTTTTCATAGAGAGAAACGCACATTGATTTTTGAGAAATTTTTCTCAGCCCAATTATCACGCCTCTTGTTTCGAATATTTTAAAAACGGAGTCTCAACTGTACAATATAAATGTTGTTAACATGTTATGATAAGTCGTTGAAGTTTTTATTACTCCACTGGGCATTCGCATCTAAACTTTGCTTCAATAAATCTGTTCTTGAAAAGCCTTCATAAATTGGTTTAATGACTTCTTGTACGAAGCTATTAAGTGGAGCATCGTGTGTGTCTTTTCTTAACGGCATCCATTCCCTATTTTCTTTGTAGATCCTTCATCAATTTTTTGCTAGTTTCCAAAGTCATTAAGATTTTTCTGTGCCTTCGTGTACAGCGAACTTGCAATTAGTAAGTAATTGAGGGGCCCAGTGCAAAAGGCAGCTATGCCACAATACTAACAATTCTCGGATATTAAACTTTTACATGAAGTTGTGTCAGTTGAAATTGCATGATTAGGACTGTTATTTTTTTATAGAACTTACTAATATTACGGTAAAGTATCTAGGAAAACTTGTTATTTTTCGTTTTATTTCCTACATACTTAAATCTAAAAATAGGATTAAAATATAAATAGCAAAAGCTACTCAGTTGTTCGATTCTAGTCGTAAAATTCGATCAGTTGTTCTTTTTCACCAATTTTATAGCTAATACTATACATAAACACTAAATGATTCATACAAAATACTAGAATCTTTAAATTAATTTCGTACAAACACTTCAATCTTTCCTGAATCGTTGCTTTTGACTGATTATTCTCATATTTTAAACTTATCTGTTTCGTCTTTTAAACGATATTTATAATCTTATAATTGTTTCAAAAAAACTGAGTCATCTCTCCCTGATTTACCCTACTCAACACTAGGTTCGCGGATATTTATTGTACACTTCATACTATGGCTTCTACGAACGTTGATGTTCGTTCATTTAGATTTTGGAAATCACGGGTTAAAATGTAAACAATTGCGATACATATTCATGTAATCGCATCAGTCAAAAAAAGTTACAATGCTATTATCTTTGATAATTAATCATTTAGTAGATATACATATTCATCTGCATTTGTACGTAGAGAGAATCATCATAGCCAATTGCATACGGCTCCTAGTTACATCTAAGGAATAACAAACACTTTGACCAACAGCTGCAGCTGTACTTCCGCAAAATAATTTTGCTGGTACAGTTAAAATTAATCCACCTGTTATAAAATAAGATAATAATAAAATAATATAATAATAATATTCGTATATATATTATAATTATAGTAATATTATATATTAGTAAACAAAATTTTACACATCCGCGTAAAATGGTAAAACCAAAATTCTGCGTACAAGGCTTTACCAAATCTCTGAATTCGTTTCCAGCGCAAGAAACGAGAAACACGTTGACAGAAGTGTATCGAATCGAATACAGCATATTTTCATTGATAAACGTTTTTTACAACCTCGAGTAAGGTTTTCTGTGAATAATTTGTATCCGTATTCTCACTGAGAATCGCAGCACAAGTCACAGTCCGGGAACCGTGGGTGTTATCGGAGCAAGTGACATATTTACCGACCAATATATGTGTCGCGTTTTATTCCAGATTGCCTCGGAGAGCCATGAAAATCGAGAGGATTCCCCTGGCGAGGAGGAGGTGTCCCGACGAAAACCGGGAGCGCGGAGGAATGCCAAAGACGGAGACCCGAGGACGGGTTCCGGAACGGGACGGATCGCATTTTATTTACTACTACGAAGCGTGTGTTTTTCCTTCTGTTTTTTTAATGCTTCGCCGCATTTCGATAGCCCGCTGGAACGTCGGCGAACGTTAATCGTTACTCGCGTAAAAGACAAAACGAACGATTTCGATCGCGCATTTATTCGTCCGTGTAGTCCGGGTCTAACTGGCTCGCGAGGTATTCAACTCTTCGAATGGACTACAGTATTCTCACGATTAATATATACCCGGTCCGATCTGCAGGATTCATGCTCGGTAGTTATCCCCGTCGCTGAGGGGCGAGTCCAAGAAATTCGAGCAATTGTACTATGATACACTGTTTAGCACTAAAACTACTGAGCAGTTACATTGGTTTTTTGAAATTTCTCTATAGAAACTCTAAGAGTGCATCTATGGAAACTTTCATTGATTTACTATTCAATTTACGTATTGTTAAATCAATTTCTTTAATAATTTTTTAGAGAAACATCTGTTATCTTTTTAGTAATTGCAAAAAGAAGAAGTCTGGAAAGGGAAATTTTGATCTATCTAGTAGTTTTAGTGTTGAAGAAATACATAATGATTCAATAGCAATCATTTTTTGTTTTCTGTGAATTGACAATAAAGGAAATAGAAGGAAGAGAAGACGGGAAGTAAAGAAGTCAAAAGGCAACGCGTTGTTAACAGAAATGGGAAATATACCCATTCGGTTAGGTATGTCTTAACATTAGAACTACCGATCATTTCATACGATTAATACGCAATCTTTATAAAAATTGTAACAATAGATTATTTTCAGTTTCTTTAGATATCCATTATAACATTCAAGTGAAATTGTTTATATTCAAGATCGTTTCGAATATTCAATGCTTTTAAGATATCAGTAATTGCGAGACAAAGACATCGAAATCAGTCATTTTGACTGGCACGGTAGTTCTAATGTTAATACAATTATAAAACTTTTTTATACCGGGGTCTTTGCAAATGGAACTTTTACTAATGCATTTGTGAGATTCTTCTGATTAAAACGAGGCCAAACATGACATACATTAAGTCACAGTTTACTAGAAGAAAATAGATTATTGTAATTTATTGAACGTATAAATATGTTCCAAAATATATCGTGCCTGGTCTGGTTTTAGTCAGAAAAAGCTTACAGTTCATTTTGTAAAAGTTTCAATTGATATAAGTGGAAAATAAAAAAGTTTAACACCGCTCAATGCGACCTTAATTAGTATCCCCTCATTCGTTTCTTCCTTTTGATCGTTCCGAAGCTCGGGCGTCTCGCTATTTCATTTCCGCTATCCTTCTCTTCGGAGAACAAATAGAGGGGCTCGGCTCAGATCTTACCTCGACTTCGAATCAACACCACTGCACGATTAGTACCTGGTTGCAATCCCGATTTTCGGCTACTAATCGCGAGAATACTGTATCCTACAACGAATTAGGCGAGGCAACGATTTCGCACGGGCAAGGCGAGAAAATGGTCGCGCCAGTAAATCGAGTTGATCGGATCCTTCGAAGCCATTCTTTTCGGGAACCGAAAATAAGAGTTATTTAACCTGTTAACTGTGGAATTTAGTTTCAAAATAATAAAAGATATAATAAATAAAATATAAAAATGAAGTGTGTACTCGTTAAACGCACGACGAATGCACATAGGTTGTACTTTAATGAAAAACCAAAGTAAAACAAAGAAGAGTGACATGTTTATATAAAAGTATTAAGAATTCATCGTTGAAGGAATTAGTAGCGTTTCAAGCTTTAAGATAACGTGTATACTCGTCAAACGCAGTTAACTTGTTAAAAAATGTTTGTGAGAAGAATTAGTAACCGAGATTCATTTATTATTGAAGTTAGGGTATTAATGCTTAACTGGTTGTTTGGGTAAAAATATTCATTTAAAAGAATTACGTAAAGGCGGATATTAACCCGTTTGCATCGCAAGTGAATAATTTAATTATTCAACTAAAGTCAGATTGACATGTGGTCTTATTTTTTTAATACTTAAGACTTCGATACATCATTCAGTTTTTTAAAATTGTCGACCGTTAAGGGTTAATACTTTTTTAGACTTTGTTGTAGATTGAAGTTATTTCTAAGTTATTAACACTAGACTGACCGGTTTTCAAATCTGATTGAACATTCTGCGTTTTCGTACGTCCATTTAACTTTATTGCAATTTCTATATGATTCGATTAATCATTTTTCTGCGTTTTTTTCTCTCCTTTTATAATATCTCTATTTACACTAAGAAAAATCGATCGTTTAACACATTGACTGCCACGAAAAACATCAGCGTTTTATGTATTATTTTTTATTTATATAGAAAAGGTAAAAAGGAAGAATTATTAATTATTTGCTATCACAATTTTTACGTTACACTATTATCTAGTTGTTTACGTTACTGAACATTTTTATTCGACGTCAGTTATCTTACAAGTTACAAGTTATAATTATTTTCTTGTAATTTACGTGTTAACTTGTTTACTTTTATTTTGTAATTAGTTATTCAAATGGTTAGTTTAAAAATAGGCGTGTACAAAATGCCGGTACGTTTAGTGTTCATTGTAACGTTCATTATAATTTCTTTATGGATTTGTATATTAAGTCGATAATAGAAGGTTTTTTCTGGCATAGATCATATGATAATTGAATTCATACTCCACCTCTTCTTTCTGCAAACTTAGAAAATACTGTCAGCCGTCAACGAAAATTCTCTTACTTAACCACCTACCGGTTAAGCGTTAATCAGGAAATCTAGGGAAAATTTTTCAAAAGACCGTATGAAGTAAAAATTATACGTTTTTGTTACAAATAAGAATTGTAAGTGTTCGAACATTTCTTCAATCACCGATAACCATTATTGATGAAGTTTATTGAGGCTGTTTATAACACAGTTTTTGGTGAAAGAAGTTTTGTACTTCAGTTGCTTGTAATAGCGTGAAGTGTTGTTTTATATTTGGCCAAAGCAATAACGTATTTCAAATGTAGGTTAAAACTGTGTCCCTGTTGCTTTGAAGGAAAGGGATAACTACAGGCAAACACGACAGTGCCTTGTTTATATGTTTACATATCCTACTATGTAATAATTAAACTAAAGTACAATTTCTCTCATCGATCAACTGTTATCAGTGACCAAAATAAATTTTCTTGTCAGTAATTATGTTTAGAACAATGAAAATAAATTTCTTTTGTCAGTAATAGCTGTCGGCAAAGAAAACAATTTTCTGTCACTTATAATGATTATTTGTCAACGAAAACATTTTAGCTGAAGGAATGAATTTCGGTTTGGTTATAAAAGTCATAGTTTTTATATTCATTAAAAAATTGGGGCGTTTTATGAGGGTGGACTGAAAAGTTTCGTTTCCATTGTGATATTTTTAGTCATAGTAGACAAATTTAAGTTCTGACACGTGCTGTTTTTTTTTAAGAAAGTGTACAACTATGCAAATTTAAAAGAAATGGGAGATTTAATATTTTTGTTCATGTATTTGTAATTGATAGGAAACAAAAAAATTTATATGGAATATTAAGAGGTATTATGACTGTATATTCATTTTTTTTATTACGTACAATTACAAAATAATAAAGTTTTCTTGAAATTGTACTATTTACTAGACGAAAAATAGATTATCTTCAATTTAGCTTACTGTTCTTCTGATACTTTAATTTGTTGAATTTCTGTAAACATTTAAAATTAATTTTTCGTGGCGAGAAACAACGAACAATGAAATAATTGAAGAATAAGTAGAAAACTGATATGGCTGAATATAAAGTAAGACACTGTTAATAAACTCTATTTTTGAACAATAAAAACTGTAATACATGAATAATATACAGCAAAGGCATCCCTTATATTCCTTACAAAAATTGTTCGTTCTTAACAATTACACATACATGAAAAAAATGTTGAAATTACCTATTTTTTAGGCTTCCATGGTTACCACTTTAAGATTTCTATAGTTTGCCCAATGCAACGAAACCGTAGTGAAAAACAAAAATATGTGACAAATGAATAAAGCGCGATTGAGACGACCAATCGTCGTGCTTAGCTTGTTAATATTTTGTTTATGTCCACTGTCTCGTCTCATTGGATAAACTATAGTTAGTGTATACCCGTTCCTCCATTTACGCAGAGTATCTATTCCATGTGAATTCATTTTACACGAATAAAAATCACGTAAATAGAGTCTGTCAATACAAAAGGACACAAAATATTGGAAAAGAAAACTGGCATAAATTTTAGATACACGTATTTATTTTATATGGCTTAACAAAAAGAAGTAATATTGATGTTTCGTAAATCAGAAAAAGAATATTAATAATAATTGGGAAAACAAAAAAATAATGACAATGATACTTTAGAAAACAAAGAAATAATAAGAATTGTATTTCTGAAAACAATAGAGTAATTATAATAACGTTTCAGAAAACAAGAAAAATAATAATGATGGCACTTAAAAAAAACGAAAGTGACCTTTATTCGGTACCGCTAAAGTCAGATCACGTAAATCAATAGCATGTAAACAATACCACGTAAATATTATTATAATCTACCGCGTGAAAAAGTGTCGCGTAAATGGAAGGAGAATGTAGTTTGTTATAAATGCATGTTCGAAAATTCGGTTCAAACAACATGTTGTTACAGAATTCTTATCCGCGAAGAATATTGAGATACATAGGCGAAAGCGAGCTGTTTACTTGTGACCAATGTGTTAATGTGAGTAAGACAATGACAAAGCAAGTGAAGTCTGCCATGAAGAAACGTTTTCGAGAAATAGACGTTCACTTATCACGCACGGATTACGAAGACTAGTGCAGTGTTCGCGGAAATGTTTCGCGCAGGTGACGCCCATGCGGAAAAATAAAAATGTAACTTGAAAAGCAAAGAATAAAGGTAACTTTCTTTTTACCGTTGTTTCACAGAAACACGTCTTCTCGTTCGTTTTTCTATTTAATTGAAGCCGAAAGTTCTCAGCCCACCCTCGCACTTCGCGAAGACCATTTTCTCGTGGGACACGTGTTACATTGGCGAGGACGCGCTCGCAGCTAGAACCAATGTATTTTCTTTCATAAAGACTGTGCCAACGCAAACGAACCCGCGTGTAACTTTTACCGGACTCTTGAAATAAATGTATTTTTATTTAAATGGTAATTTAATAAATATATATATATATATGTAGTTCTACGTTATAGGTAAATGAGGAGATGGTACTTGATAACTGAATTTCTTGTATGGACACGGAAATAGTGATGGGGCCAAGTTCCATGTGTACTAATAGAAAATCACTCGATGGCTAGACTGAAGAATTCCGCTGATCGATTAGTTTTCATTTTTTTCTCATTCAATTCCCCGTTGGTTTTGTCTTAACTCCTGATATTTTCGATGAATAATTTACTAAGGTAATTCTGGAATATTGGTAAGCTGACAATTCGGGTTTTCAAAGTATTAGGCTCGTAGAGTGAGTCACAAGAGTATTCGTACCTCTTGAACTCTTGACTTTGAACGATTGATATCTGTTTACAATCCAAGTTTACAATTCAAAGGTCTTATCAACAGAAATACATGTCGGAATTGCGAAGCTTTCAACCTCATATAAACTTTATTGCAAACCAACATGTCAATGTAATAAAAATGTAATTTGATGTAAATCGGAACAAAATTGGTCTTCTAAAATATGTTCTCAGATGTTCTCTAATTTATGTTGTACTCCAAATCGGTGTGTATAATCTTTATTATATCCTACTGGTTTTACACAATGAAAATATATATTAATCTTTTGATTGAATAATACTTCAGAAAAGTATAAAGATTAGGTATAAAGTTAAATTTTATCTGAAACCCGTAACTTCTAAGGGAGGTTATACACCACGCGCCTAGAACAAAAATTATTTAAACATATTTAAAAATTTAGTGATGTCAATTAAAAATTATAAAATGAAAATTAAATACATTTATAAAATAAGCAGATGTTACGGTTCAAGTGATTAACTGATTCATTTTAATAATAATTGAATAAAAAAGTTAAAGTGAACAATTTACAAAAATGTATTACATGAAAGGAATAAATAATGTATGTGTATTTTAATAATAAATAATGAAGTAATAAATATTATAAAATATATTCTTATTAAATTTAGCAGGCTTCACTGCTAATTATTAATGTTTGCTGGTAAATGTAATTATTACTTGTTATTAATCAAATTGAACAAATGGGACGGGTATTAAATTAGTAGTTATTTATATAATTACACTATGCAATATAATAAATTATAATAAATTATATATAGTACGTAATAAAATATAAGTTAGTATAATTCATACTAACCGGAATTATTATATGAACCGTAACATAGATGCTAATCAATTGCACGCATTGAACGAACAGCGTGAAAACAAAAACAATCCAGGCGCGTTTACAAAACTCTGCAAATGACTGTCTTTGAAACGGAAACCCTGCAGCCTGTTTTTCAATCATTACGCACGCTTTAACCACCTGTTGGAGCATCGAGCCACCTGAACCGTTGCATATTACAATTTACATAAAGTATAAATTTATACTATTTACGAACAGAAAATAATTTAGTTATAAAGAACAATCGTTTACGAATAAAACGAAAAATAAAAATGCAAAATTTTATAATTACGGAAATAGAAGTCCATTTATAAATACAATTTTGGTAAAAATCTATGAAAGCTGTCTCTTAAGCAATATTTAAATTACTGAAAATAATGAGTTACTGATAACTTAGTTTTTCCATTATGTCATTTCAATTGGTACAAAGTCTTAGACGCAATTTAGGAAAATATTGAGAAAATTGAAGATTATAATTTAAAATTAAAAATGATTGAATTCACGTGGAAAATTTTGTCATAAATGAAGCAATAAGAAAATGTGTATTTTATTACTTTCTAAATTACATTTCTCTGGATATAAATAATTTGGTACTTCGCACTTTATGTGAATCGTATTTGTATAAAAATTAAGGAGATAATGGCAACTGTGATCTGTATTTGTTTCTCCATGTAAAAGGAAATTCTTAAAATCATATTTGCGTTATCATTTATTAAGGAAATATTAATACATGCAAGTCTAAGACTTATAGAATAATAAATACAATGAATAAATAATATTTCGAAATTATTGTATTCTATTTATGATTATGTTATTATAAATCATGAACTACTAGTATCATGTCGTTGAACGATGCTTTATCAGTAAAGATATGTTCTTTTGGTACAATATAACGGTGAACCGAAAAACATTTGAGATGAACGATCAAAATATGTAATTTACAACTAATCAACTACTCCATGATCACCTAGTTCACCTTCCTGTTCCTTGTAGGGAGCATTTAAAATCGTATTAACTTTTTGTTCAGCAACTTTTGCTTCCTTTGTCGCATGATCCTGTTCTTTCCGGCATTCATTATTCTCGTGGTATCATGTTTGTTGGTAAAATATGAAGCACTTCGTTCAACTACTTATTTAAATGGTTTCGATTATCGTAAAGACGGAGGAACAGTTCTAATTAAGAATTGCTTGTGATAAGTAATTGTCTAGTTTAAATAGTGTCAACACCATAAATAAGTATTTTGAAGTGAATTGATATAATATATCGTGATATTGATCAAATTAGTTATTGAGTTAGTAATTAATTAGTCATTAGATGTCGATCAATCTTCACAGGTTGACTTAGACATCTTCTGTAAATACCACGCTATGAAATGAAATTTCTTTAACCATCCACGGATATTCTTCTTGGTGATCTTTTACATCTTTCTTAATATTTGAAACATTATTTGCATGGCTATTTTCTTTTTTCACAGGTTATACATTTAACATTAACTTGATTTTGAAATTGTATAAATTATTTTGCTTTCATACTTAATTGTTTTTGTGATGATAAACGTTGAAGAATCTCTTTTTTTTATCTTACAAGATTAGTTTAAAAATAACATTTTTATTCCGCGTATTAACACGTATATTCGCCAGTATTCTCGAACTCTTCAAAACTGCTACGAAACGAAGAACAGTTTTGCCTTTCTTAACTCTTTGTACTCGAAGATTTTTCTCACTGACATCACCAGCAGCTTGAACAAATTTTAATAGAAAAATCAGGTTAACATGTAAATAAATACGCGCATGAAAAGAAAAGTTATAGATGTGTTTTATTGTTTTTTATCGATTATAAATATAAATATTATAATATATTTAATGACAAAATTTTATTGCTCGTAATGATATATTTTAAATGGCTCTGTTCCGGAGCCCCCGTGTGCAGAGGGTTAAAATTCATACTTGCGTAGCGTTCGAACATGGTGCCGTCAGGTTTCGACAGTGAGTCGGTTCTTGGTCCCATCGCTAGCGTATGGGTGTATTTTGAGTGCGTGGAAGCGGCTAAAATCTTCGAGGGACGAGGAACGGGACGTAATGGCATGGTACCTGGCCATATTCGGAAGCGCGAGGAGGACCAACCGGTCCTCGTTGGTCCGCAGCTCGCGAAACTGTGTGTCTGAAAAGGAGGCGGGCGGCGGTGAACGCGTTCTTTCCGCGTAACCGAGACCATTGGCATTTAAAGGATCTCTTATATCCTTTCACTGTCCACGCCGCTCGTCCAGCTATTCCGTCGCGTCACTTACGCTCCGGCAACGTCTCCGAGCACGGGATCTCGTTATGGTAATTACGCTCCGTCTTTTCCTTTCTCTGCTTTCTCCGTAAAGCGAATCCTCGGTTGCGAATTAAATTGTTCTTGAAAATCGCGCGGCTGAAACTTTTGCTGTTTTCAATCGAAACATTCGGATAAACCGAGTTTCCTTTCATTATTTTGTTTCGTTGATTCGTCCAGTGCTCTGTTACTAGCTATCTAATACTAGATGTAATTTTATTAAAACTTGTAACAATATATTTTATTGTTTGGTTTCTTTCTATATTATATATTCTATATTCTATATTCTATATTCTAAAAACAATTAAAAAAATGAGCGATACTGCACAGACAAAAAGGACAGTTGGTTGTGTTCATTATTCATGCAGTTCTGTTATGTTACAGATTTCAAGCTTACCTGTGTCTCTTGAGAACGTCGAACAAAATCAATTAGGTACTTCAGTACCATGTGGATACGGTCGTATAAACATAAATGAACCAGCGTATACGAGTGATATTAACATAATAAAACATGTTTGAAGTAGAAGCTAATTAAGGTTTTCTTGACATTCGTAATGTTTAACCTACAGATATTTATGCAGATCTAAACTTTTTCGAGTAAGTCGCAAAAAGTGAAATTAAATAGAAATTTTTTGATCGTGTTAACGATTTTGTCAGGTTACAAATAGCACGTGAATCTCATTAAGCTTTTTATTAAATTGCTTTTCATTTATGGGAATATATAAATTTCATATTATATGTATATACGAAGATAACGCGGTGAATGCATTTTTGAGAACACGAATACTTGAAATTCTCTTTTAATAAATTACTCGTTTCAGAACCGGTAATACAAAAAAAAGTTACACAGACGCCGAATAAATGAATATTTGTGAAAGGAAGGTTGAATGCTTGATGGATGAAGCGAAGCATAATCCAGTTTCTGCACGACCACTTTTGTAACACGAGGACAGTCGTCCATCCGATTGTTCGTTTTTAATTATAGTTTTATTTATGTCATCTCTTTTTACGCGCTATTGGCAACGTATTAAGATAAAAATTCTGCCGTTATCTTAATCTTCTTACCGTACTATAAATTATAGTTCCTTAAATCCTGCAAACAAGTTCATTCTAAATATTCCTTATTTCTAGAAAGTAAACGATACAAATTTATTTATATATTGTAAAGTATAAAGAACACGTGTTATTCTGGGAAAACTATCAAATTTGTAAAAACAGTAATTGTTTTTCAAAAATAAATAAAAGAACTAAAGAACAAAAAAGTTTTAGGTTCTATGATTGTTGGGAGCAAGCTGAGAAAGGTGTAATTATTAACCTTCGTCAAATATATTTTTCGATTTTAGAAATTGATTTCGGATAAATACATTAGCATTTGGTCGACAATGTTTTAAAATACTATTTATTAATGATAAAAAATACCTCTTTTTATTATGAATAATATAAAATATATTATATTGAAATATAAATGTTATTATTATTATTAATATTACAATTATTAAATATAATATATATATACTCCTTAACCCCTTACCCTACGATTTATTTCTTAACTATGATCGATACAACTACTTTATCGTTAACAATTTTTTAGGAAAACAAAAAATTGATCTGCTTATTTTATAACGACACTTGCTCCAAATGGTAACGATTGATAATAGAAAATTAATATTTAATATAGATTTAAAAAAAAATCACTTCGATTTGTCAAATTCAGTTTAGAATTCTTAACACGAGTCTGATACGATATTGTAGGTCAAGGAGTTAACAAAGAGTGAACATTTCTTCTTACTTGCTTTACTAATGTGTGATTTTTTAAAAGCAATATTTCCATTACATTCATTTTCATTAAAATAAATACGTTAAATGAACTATATTACATTTAGACTCGACAATAATTGTAGAATGCCAGTTCAAAAATTCTTCTTAGCTTTTCAACTAATCGATCGTTCAACTTTTAAATTAAGTAATCGCGAACGTCAACAAGTCCGATATGGAAATTTGAATAATCGACGAAGGTATAACATTTTAAGCGCCGCAATCCAGGTAGATTGGCGGCTGGGTCGTGAATTTTATAGCTGTTGAGGTAATGCCCGGCATAAAATCCCAAGCTACAAACCCGATAAACCCTTTTAAAATTTGGTTATCCCTTTAGTATCGTTGCAGGAAAACAGGCACGTAAAGAAGATTTGTTGCATTTGTTGGAAAGAACAAAAGCTACAATATAAGCCTGCTTTAACAAGTATATTTCTTGAATTAACACCTTACCGACAAATAATTTTATTTGTACAATGTATTAGATACCGGAAAATGTTCGTACGATTCTCAAATTAAAATTTACACACAAAGAACATGTTTGTAAAATTATTTCTTTCATTCAACTTGCTGCTAATATCAATTTCATTTATTAACAATAAAACTACGGAAGGGTCAAATTGACTCACTTCAGAATTTTTATTTTACAAGTATATAAATTATGCAGAAAATTATAAAAGTTATAATTCAGTTGTATATAATGCATCGACACATGGAACATCCATACCAGAACTTCACAATATTCCTAGAATAACTAGTCAAATAACTAGTTATAAAACAAAGGTAAACAAGTGAAGGGACAAATTTTTCTTAGTGTGAATGGAAACGAAAGGAATGAGGAAAATTGAAAAACTGATAAATCCCACGATGCAAGAATTGATATAAAGTTAAATGGACAAAGGAAAATGCAGAATATTAAATTAAATGTTAATACTGCTCGTGGTACATTCAGTGTCAATTTATGCGAGAAATTTCTTTATATTAATTGCAAAAATATCATCGACATTTCATGAAAAAATAATAAATATTTGCAGAAAAAATATTTTCAAGTGTAAATGGTTAAATTCCTGCTACAAGTGAGAGGAATGTACTGTAATAAATATTCTGTATAAAATGGTACGCTCTTTTCGATCAGTAGATCCTGTATGCAACAATACTTTGTTTCGTCTCGGATCGGAAAGTCATGTAGAGAGTATGAAGTTTTCCAGTTGGCTTTTCGAAAATGAAGACGGGAAGAAAGTCGGCAGAGGGGAAGAGAGAGAGAGAGAGAGAGAGAGAGAGGAATCGTTTGGGCGTGGGCGTTTCAAGGTTTTCTGCTCGCCATTTACGGCTGTATGCAAAACCAGATACATAGTGCCTCGACAATGAACGAGACCGAGACATTTCGAGGGAAGAGAAAGACGGAACGTGGTTTGGTCCTGCTATGAGCTGGAAAGGCGCTTCGAATCTGGGCACGAGAGACTGACTGATCACTCATCGATCACCCAAAGATTCAAGAATTGATCGAATCAACTGTATCTGCAGATAGTGTCACTTGAAATCGTGTATCTTAATATTGTACAGATTGTATATTACAAGTTTTGCTTTTATTGTTTGTCTAAAATTAATATACTCCTTATGTGAATGTGCTAATGTATTTTTATTGAATGGTATTGAATAATTCTATATGAAAATAAAGTTAATTAAAAGTATTTGAAAATGTTTTAAGCATAGCTCATTATTGTTGAGGTGAAAATATAGAAATTGAATGAGATTCCTTATAAGTATAGGAATTATAGTGTAAATATAGTATATTGTAAAATAAAAATTACGTCAAATTAGTATTAGGTAATAATAAAGAATAACCATTTTAATTGTACACCATAATTAATGCTGAAGTAGACAAATATTTTAAAAAGTAAGAGATTAATGTTTTCTAGAATATTCCGAATAATATTTAAGAAAAATATTGAAGACCTTTAGAGAGAAAGAATGTATTTTTCCTAGTGAATTAAAATAGCTGGAAATACTACTTGCGTGTAATGCCAAAGTTGAAGTGTGGGGAAGATCAAAGGATGAAATAATCATTAAAAATTTCCGACACTCCATCAGGTTTGAAAGGCGGAAATGAATGATAGAAGTTTAAAGTACATAGATAAAAATATGAATAAATATAATTATCATCACTTCAAACGACTGGTTTTCATTTTCTTGTTTTGCTATTAATGATATTATAAACGTATTGAATGTTTGAAATTATTTAAAAACTTGATAGCTTGAAAATAATTATAAAATTAGTTTGAGAGTACTATTATAGATACTCAATACTTAATAGATTCTAATGTTAACGAGTAATGCCAGCAATGTGTGAAGAAGATGAGACTTTCAAACAGTTTCAAATTCTACGCCTACACTGACCCGATTCATACTACCTACGTAACAAAGCGTTGGGTATTGTATAACTGCAAAATTAATGGAAACACTAGCATAGTCATTGAGTATCAATGTAATAGGACAGAATAAATAAGAATAAATAAGAAAATTAGGTTATATAATATTACAAATAAGCAAGAATTAAGAAATACATTAAAAATAGAGTATACAAATATACACGAAAAAAGTTAAAAATAGTCACGGTTACTTTAAAAGATATTAGCAGCCCAATAAAATTCATTGTATTATCTAAAATTACCAATATTTGAACATACAAAATTTATATTAACTGGCAAATTTTCATGCGTGGTTTCTAAATAAGCTTAATTCTGTTTTTATAAATAAAACTGTGAGTTTGCAATTATTAAACATTAAACGAATATATTTGATATATTTTCATGGAAACTAGTTCGACTCAATTGTACAATACAAGTTTTTTGTAAAAATGTTTTACAAATCTCAAAGTATTGTACTAAAAATATTGGGACAAACTTGATATTGTGATTTTTTATCATCATTAGTATTCAATGGCTTATAATTTTTTGTTGCTTAAGGATTCGATTAACGGGTTACAGTTTTTTGTATCCAGACAATTGTTGCTCAAGAATTTCATTAACCTTTAGTCACTGGTAGACCGAGTTCTCCAATAACCGGTAGCTGTTTATGCGAAAGTCTCAGAATCACTCTATTGAGTGTGCAGAAATCGAAGAATTTGTTTCGAAACGAATTGTTAAGTTATGTAGCACGTATCAATGGAACGCTGAGAAACCTGCAACTCCCAGTTGTTGCTTATTACTTTTGAAAAGGAGGTTACATCGTTTTAGAAGAACAATCTGTCTGCATTAAAACGCTGCCTTTTTAGTTACTTTAATTAAAGTTAACAGAAGCTGGAAGATCTGATTAATCGAACAATACAGGAATTTATATAAACTTAAATGAACGAAGAAATACGCAGAATTTTAGATCCGGTCATTTGACCGGTTCCTGGGATGGTTAAATAAACTCTTCATTTCTGCGAATAAACATCTTCATTGAATCAATGAAAAGGCCATCTTCGTAAAACACACACGATCACCGCTATAAGTTATGATAGATAGTTAAATAAGTGTTTCTTCATGAGCTCCAAATTGTTTCAGGAAGACATATTTATTGTTGTTTCTATAATTTCCTGTTGCGTAATCCCTCTTTCCTTGGAATATGAAACTTAAATCAACATCTTAATTTTCTTGATAGTACATGGTTGCTGTAAAAGTTTCAAGAAATTATGAAAAACATTATGAAATATTTATGAAACAAATACCCATTTCGCAGATCATTTAATACATTTGTAATTGTCTATAAGATAATGTAAAAATCCACTAGTTCAAAAAACATTTTAACTTGAGTAATTTAAAATTCTACTTAGACGACAATAAGGGCGAACAAAAACAGAAGAAATGTTGAAATGTGTAAAAATACGAATACAATACTGAAAACCTGCGGTTAAAATATTTTTTTATACTAACTACCTTAATATTCTCTATAATCAGCGGCAAAAAAATACATCAATCAATCTATAAACGACTAATATATAGTAACATACAAAAAATGGCACAGACAACCTTGAAATCTTTGAAACGCTTTCACTCGTGGAGCAGTCGCATGCACCAAGTAGTGCACTGTTTGAAACCATCTAATTCCGTCTAATGAACCTCTTACCAACCTCTCATTTGAAAACCATATCCTGACCCAATATTAACCTTACACGCCCAATATACCACCATTACCTTTCAACCAACATTAGCAAAGCCTCCACAATTGCATAAACTTCCCATTTAATTCAACCAAACCTTAAACATCCGGCACTGATTGCAAGGAAACTTAGTTACTCGTGAATGGTAATGTATGTCCTTAGGCAAAGTTGGGCAAAAATGTAATCAATGATTAACGATTAAATTTCAATTTAATCAATGGCTGTCACTAATTATGTTGGTTACTGATACTAATGGATTAAATCAATCGCCAATTTTTCGACGATTAATGTTTTTAATCATAAATATTAATTGACCATTCAAGTAAAAAAATTTATATAATTAATGCCCAATTTTGTCCTTAGGTTTAATAAATCTTTCCCTCTTTCATTTCCTCTGAACAATGGGAAAAGCAGCTTCATACAGGGTGTTAAAAAAAGAGTTAAATATTTTAATGGTTAATAGTGATTACTAAATATTTTTAAAGATATAAACAATTCTTTGTTTCAATCGAAATGGAACTGTGAATTATCTATTTCTTTACTCTACTTACGTATCATTTTAAATTTGTTGTGGCCAATTAGTTTTGGCATTTGTACAAGTGTAGGAAGATTGTTACATAGTTGTTTAAAAGAAATTCGATATCCCAATTTCATTTTAACGTTATTTATTTACATAACCTATATAGGGTAAGATGGTGCATCTGCGCCCATAGCACTCAAAGGGTTAACATGTTCAGTGCTACGTGTACCATTCGTGGTACACGCGCAATTTTTGTAAGCAAACATTTTTTTGTGAGACATGTAGCAAAGAATAGCGGTACACGAAGCAGCGAAAACGTAAAGAAACAATATCAAAATCTATATAAAGTTACCGAAAACTTGAATGTGACTTAATATCTCGTATAAAGAATCAGTGCACTTCATAAGCAAGAAACAACAGAAATTTCCATTGGCTCGGAACATGTTAACACTAAACATACCGCGACCGGTCAAATGGCCGGTTTTAAAATTTCGTATTTTTTTCGTCCATTTAACTTTCTATTAATTCTCATATTGTCCGATTAATCAGTTTATCAGTTTTTGTCTTCCCTTTTGTTTAACACGTTGACTGTCACGGTGGTCACAGTGACCAGAGCTTTCAAATTGCTCGAAAACAATTATAATTCGTAAGATAAGTGGCATGGAATGGAAATCTTTAATAACGCAAATAACTGGATCATAGTGTAACCTAATAACTGTGTACCAAATAATTGATAACTATTCCTTTTTATTTTTGCTACAAAAGAATAAGTGATACATAAAACGCTGAAGTTTTTCGTGGCAGTCAACATGTTAAGTTTCTATTAAAAGAATTGCTCGTCCAATTCGTTTACCTTCACTTTATAACTAATTATTTAGCTGATCAGAGTGGAAATAGTTATGTATCAAGTGCTGGTACGTTTAGTGTTAAATTAGCGAAATAAGTAAACTTTATTCTGAAAATCAGGTCTAAAGGGGCGAAACTAAACTGAAATGTATCCAGTATCTCTGAAGAGGTTAACAGTTTTCTTGTAATACCCTGTACAGGGGATCGGCGAAGTACGCGGGTCCGAGGCCCCTCGGTGCGACGAAAGGCCGTACGTGCACGCACTCTTGCTCGCAGGCGTAAATAGGTGGGTGGCTGGGCAGGCCGCGGGCAGGAAGGATAGCCGTAAGAAGGCGAGCGCGGTCGCGCAGTGTGTGCAGCACGCCGTACGCCGCGCCAGGAGAAAGAGAGGGAACCTAAACCGAACCGAACTGAACCGAGCGGACCGAGCGAGCGGACGAACACGCTCGGCCTGTTGAGAGGTCTCCCCTGTCGCAGGTAAAACGCCGACACTGGAAAGTGAGTTCAGTCGCGGCCGCGCGATCGCGTCGGACAATATTTACCAGCGCGGTGCAAGTTTGCGACCGGGGAACGTAGTAACCTCTAACCGTCGCCTACGGGGAACCTACCAAGTGCCTCGAACGAAAGAAACCGCGTCCTCCTCGCACGTTGCCTGCGACCAACCCAACCCGAGACAAGGTACGAGATAACTACCTGTTATACGCGGCAAGGTCTTGCTTTCGTTTGGTACTTAGCATCAACGTGATCCGCAAGGATAGGACCGTTCGCTAAAGCCTACCGTGACAGTCGCGAGAGATGAAAAACCGCGGGTATTCGTTAGCAATAAATGGTTGCGGTAAAAGACCACGGTGATCCTCTCCGATGACGACATTCCGGGTGACACCCACTCAGTTTCGATAAATACCCGATCGTTGGCGAGTTCCATTGCTAACTTATCCTCTATTCATCGTCACGCCTTTCTTTCCTTTCATCCTTCCTTTGTTCCCTTGCTTCTCTTCATTCCTAGCTAATTGTTCCTTTGTCAATTGTTCCTTTCTTTCGAAAAAGTCATTTGTCCGTAGTAAGAATGTTCTGACGACGATCAGGCGCGAAGTTTATTCAACGAATTTTGAAGTAACGCGCAAGAAAGCCAGGCGGTTCCCGGCAGCCCGGACGTTAATTACTTTCACTGATTCAGAGTCGGACGCGGAGGAACCACGCGAAGTGGAATCGAAAGTGGCTACGCCACTGGGCTCGCACGGTTCGCTCGCGATCCGCTCGGCAAATAATCCCTGCGTGTCTGGCTATTATACGGAACACGACACGCAGGGAGGTCCCCGGTGTTTCGCAGCTTCTACATTTCGGCCGCAAAACGACGAAACCGCGCGGATAAACGACCCGGCTCCGACTCCGAGTCCCGCCCTCCGTCGAAAACCGGTCCTGCCTCGCGGCTGCTAGCTGATTTTGCCTGGCGAACACGCGATCGCCATCTTGAATCCGCCGGGGATGACGTCATTGGTACAAGGCACTCGCCCGCTCGTTCGCCTTGCTCGATTCTAGCGGCAGCTAGAGATGGAAACGCGAGAGGCTGCGTCCAATAGCGACGCTTCTCGGAATGGGCATCGATATTCCGCCTCTGACTTTCTTCGACTATGCTTGAGCATTCAAGGGCTTCCCACGAACGAACGTATTTTCCGTTCCGTGTAGGTATACTCGCCTCGCGATTTCGTCGATTCGAATCGGCGAATTCGAGGCGGCTCCCTCCGCGAGAAGAATCAATTCCTCTGCTCGGATCCGATCTTGCTCGGATTACGGTCCTGGCCGATGCGGCGAGTGCACCTTGTGAATATGGTTTTGAACTTTGTATATGCGAGATGTCACATCTGACCTGTTTGGCTCGAGCAGTTCTGAGATTATGCGTTGCATTGGAAATTATTTTACATAGGAATTGCATTGTTGTGAAGAAGGTCTTATGTATTGCTTGACGTCTTTGTTAGTTCCGTTGGCTCCGATTATAATCTTCGCAGTTGCAATGTTTTACTAAATATTTATTAACTTATTTAGTTATGTATTTAATTACTAAATGCATTTTGTTATTTCGATGAGATATTACTAATAATTTTGGAAAAACAAACTACTCATTTTGTGAATTCTGTTTACCTGAGATAGTTTTGAGATCATGCTTCGCATTGGAAATGAGTTTACATAGGAATTGGATTCTTCGGAGGGCATTTTGTGTATTGCTTCATGCCTTTGTTAGTTTAGTTGGCTTCGATCACAATCTTCGTAGTTATAATATTTTACTAGATATTTATTAACATATTTATTTATTTAATTAGTAAATGCATTTTATTATTTCAATGAAATATTAAAAATAACTTTAATAAAACAAGCTATTGACTTCGTAAATTTTATGCCATTGATCACTGCAAATAACAATGTACATGATTTCACTTTCTTCGAACGAATAATGCATAACTTTATTACCTTTTATATTGTAATTAAGAAAGTATCTGATTTTTCAGATACATAAAAATGTATTAATCTTTTTATTCTTAAGTGGAATGATAAACTACACATTTTCTTCATTCATCCAAATTTGTTGTATTATTGAACTATTCATAGATCTAATTTATTCTAATTTACTAAATCATAGATTTTTCAAATTGTTTAAAGCTACATCAATAAGTGTT